CTGGTAACACAGGGGATGGAGATGACCAGCTAGCAGCCGGGAACGTGGGACTATAAATAGGAAGCAATGCAGTACTATTGCTCTAAATCTAGAGCAACAAGCTTACTAGAGTCACTAGTATAAATGAGACAGTGCAGAGAAGCATAGAGAAGGAAGTATAAAGAAGCAGAAACAAAACAAAACAAAAAGCTGCAAATAAAACCCTTTCCATGGGAAGCAGCAAGAGGAGAAAAAGTCCCCCGTGAAGTGGCAGAGCTGGGACTTGAACCCAGGTTATCTGATTCCATGTCTCAACTATACAGTGAGAAATGCAACCTTTGGCAATTCTAAAGAATGTTTACTTTAAATATTAGGTTTTAAAAGAGGAAATGTTATTACTTTTTATTGCCTCCATGTCTATAGATATTGATGAATGTAAAGATGGAACCCATCAGTGCAGATATAATCAGATATGTGAGAATACAAGAGGCAGCTATCGTTGTGTATGTCCAAGAGGTTACCGATCTCAAGGAGTGGGAAGACCCTGTATGGGTAAGTTAACAGGAACACTTACTGAGTAGTCAATCTACTCATATAGTTACCTAGTTTTACCAACTCAGGTAGGACCACTCTCTATCTCCAAATGCTTTCTTGCTACAATTAGAATTTTGTTAAGTTGACTTAGCTAATTCATAACAATTTGGATTATAGTTGACTCATGAACAACATGGATTTGAACTGTGTGGGTCCACTTATATGTGGCTTTTTTTCAATAAATACATGGTCAGCCTCTGTATTCTTGGGTTTAGCATCTGTGGATTCAACCAACAGCTCATCAAAAACAGTATTTTCAGTCTGCAGCTGGGAATCCGTGGGTGTGGAGGGCTGACTGTATGCACTGTTCTAGGCCATTTTACGTAAGGGATATGAACATACATAGATTTTGGTATCTGCAAGGTCCTGGAACCAATCTCCCTGCAGATACCAAAGGATGACTGAGTTTGGCGGAGTCAAAAGTTATATATGGATTTTCGACTGCATGGGGTTTGGCATCCCTAACCCCCATGTTGTTCAAGGGTCAACTGTACTTCTTAGAGACTTCATATTGACTTCAACTTACACTAACATTTCAAGTGATAATAGTAACCACTCCAGAGTGCTTACTATATACTACACATATCAAAGTGAGGTTCTGATGTAATTGCCATGACAACTTAATCATGAAGATTCTCTCATTGATTATCTCTATGCATATGACATAAATGTTTGCTAGGTACGTTTAATTTGAATATGAAGTATACTTCTATGTAATATGAGGATTTAGGTATGACAGATTAAAATGTGAATACACAACTTAAGCAAAATAATGATTATTACTTTATTTACCATATGTTTAGCACTTACTATGTGTCATTCCCTATGCTAAGACTATCTCATTTCAGTCTCCCAGTTGCCTATTTGTTTCCATCTTAGTTATAATTGAATATAAAGTAAAGCAGGTAACAGATAATAGAAAATATCTGTAATAAGGTAACTATATGCTTTTTATTAAATTAATGCATTTATCATCAAGAAACAGACCTGTCAAATTCTATTCCTCCTCATAATATTTCAGTGCAGGAAAAAATCATGTGGGCTTTTAAATACTGGATTCTGGTTTGCATGCTGTGCTTTAAAACTGGTTGCCTTGGTTGTATACTTCACAATTATTTACAGTAAATTGTCCCATAAAGACAATAAAGACAATTTACTATAACTACAATTAGTTCTGTTTTTATGCAGTACCTAGCGTAGTATTATGTACATAGTGACTGTTCAAAGTAATACCATTACTAGAAACTTCTAAAATAAATGTTTTTTTTAGTAATGGAAATAATATTTTAGTGTTCTATTGAGACAATGTAATTTATATATAATTTAACATCTTAATCAGTCTTAGCAATGACCTAGCAGAATGAAATATGTTTATTTGTTCACTGATTTGACCAGAAATTGAATATCAGGCACTGGACTGGGCAATAAATCAGTGAAGAAGGTAAAGCCATTGCCCTAAAGAAATTAAAAATGTTAATTTTAACTTTAGCCTACTGAAATAATTTTAAAGCAAAACTTGCTACTTTTACTTTACTTATTCATGTTTTCTTTCATGCCACTATGGTAATGAATTCAAAAATTTGGTTTTGAACTCTGGTTTTCATATACTTTTCCATTTTACAGGAAAAGTTGCAAGTACATATTCTGTGTTGGCCTAGGAATAGAAAGAAAAGTAACTTTTTTTTAATTTTATGAACTTTATGAATTTACATCTTAGTAAGAAATTACTCTGTCATTTCCTTCCTTTTAATTTTTTTGTAAAACATGTAATTGGTTTGATTATTATTTAATAATTATTGATTTAAAAGAGACAAAATAAAAATGTTTGCAGTTGTACCAGTATTCCTGCATCTGAAACTTATAAATGTATGAAAGATTAGAGGCATTAGTGGTCAATATTATAATTAAATGAAACTAGTAATGTGTCTGTTCTTCCCTCCACCAACAAAATTAAGACCTACATTAGCTTTGAACTCTAGTTTTCCTGGATTCAAGGCTACATTTTTCCATATGACCCTTAATGTTTCTACTGTGCATGGGAAACAATCTTTAGGGAGAGTCATAGACTCTTCCGATATATTCATAACTGAACGATTAAGTCTTTCTTAAAAGCTCACCACAGTTGAGAAATTACTATATTCCTGGCTTTAGAGGGTAACATGACGTCTTCAGTTCAATTCACAGACTGATTCTTTATTCCTGTGTTTTCTGTGTATGTATGTGTATGTGTTTTTTTTTCTCTTTTTTATGTATCATGGCACACGAGCAGACATTAATGAGTGTGAACAAGTGCCTAAGCCTTGTGCCTATCAGTGCTTCAACACCCCCGGCAGCTTCAAGTGTATCTGTCCACCAGGACAACATTTATTAGGGGACGGGAAATCTTGCGCTGGATTGGAGAGGCTGCCACCTTATGGCACCCAGTACAATAGCTATAACCTTGCACGGTTCTCCCCTGTGAGAAACAACTATCAACCTCAACAGCATTACAGACAGTATTCACATCTCTACAGCTCCTACTCAGAGTATAGAAACAGCAGAACATCTCTCTCCAGGACTAGAAGGACTATTAGGAAAACTTGCCCTCAAGGCTCTGAGGCAAGCCATGACACATGTGTAGGTAAATGTCAGCCATCTTGCATTTCCTTTCTGTGGGCTCACCTATGGGCCAGTCTGAGCATACGTACAGCACCTGTAATAGTTTGGGTGCAGAGAACTACATTCTGTTCTCAAGTCTGGGAGGACTCAAAGTTTGAAGACATTTACTCTAGCACGTAAAACAATTACAAATTTGATTCAAATAAGTGAATAATGTAAATGGTATTTACATGTGTGAATTCTAATAATGTATCATTTTATATTGACGGGTTTTGATCACCCTGAAAGTGTTACAAAATTTAACGTTATAGAGAAATAAATTTCAGTAGCATCCAGACTCTTTTTTTTTAAATATGCCTATTGTCACATAATATAATGCCATAATTATGGCTAGATCTGCTTGATGCCAAAGCAGTGGGTTAAAGTGAATCTTTCAGCTACTCAGTCGACTGTTCTTTGTTGACTGTTGTCCTATACTCCCTGTGGAATTTTTCAGTTCAATTATTTTGTATATATGTATGTCACTGAAAAGATCTTGTGAGCCAGGACAAAATGCAGTTGCTTCCATTACTCTAAAATATGTGCTTTCAATATCTTTATCTAATCTCACAAGTCTGTAATTTAATGTGTTTGCAAAATTGAAGTGTAATTTCCAACTCAAGAATTGAGACCTTGTTTCCTGCTAAGTTGCAAACATGAACATCTGTCATTCATTTAATTCAGTTTTCTGTGAGTATTCATACTTTGCATGTCATTGAGCTATGTACCAAAAGGAATTAGCAAACAGGAATTAGCCCCATTATTTGTTAGATAAAAAAAGAGAGCAAGAGAGAAAGGGAAGAGGGAGTGAAGAAAGAAATTGTGGTTAAATTTAAGAGACCCTTATACCAATCTCATTTTCTTGCATTTTTCTTAATGTCCTACACTTTGCTAATTTTCCCCTCAATATGCTTTCTGTTAAACGTTTTTAAAATGTCTCCCCCTGCTGACTTCATTTTTTGTCATTTCTTTTTTTTATTTATTCCAAGCCTGTTTCTGCATCATTATCTTCTGAGATATGCTTCCTTAGTCACCCTTGGAGTAGACCAGCTTCTCATATCACCTCTACTCAGCTGAACCCTCAGATCCTCTGGGTACTTAAACTTTAACCTTTTTTCTTCAGGCCCGTATTTTCCCAGGACTTTTCTATCTGGATGTCCTGATATCTGATGTCTAGATATCTGAAATGTAATATGATAGATATGGAGTCTTCTTCCTGTGATCAGCTTCCTAGAACTACGGACAGTACTAGTTTCTTTTACTCCTTAAACTTCAAACATTAATGCATTCACTAACAACTCTCTACATTTTGTCCCATCTGGTCAAACACTGCTTAATTACTAAGCGGACACTATGTTCTTGCTTGTATATCAAACACCACTCTCAACCAGCTCCAAACCGTTCTGACTACTGGTAATTTTTTTATGCCCACATTTTGACCTGACTCTGTTAGTTAAAACTTTTCACTATTATTTTTATTTTTGTTTTTTAAAGATTTTATTGGGGAATTGGGGGAGGGGAACAGCACTGGGGAATTGGGGGAAGGGGAACAGACAAGTTGCTGTCCTTTTGTTCTTCAGTCTAGTTGTGGAGGACGTTGCTTCACTGGCCCATGTTGGTATTATCATGGTGCTCTTCCCGGGTGAGGCAGATCGGTTGCTGGCCATTGGCCGGCCACTAACGGACACTCATGGCAGCTCACGCCAGCTGCTGGCCACTCGCATTACCTTATGGCAGCCCACTGCAGCCCCACTGCAGCCTACGCCGTCGTCAGCCACTCACGGCAGCCCAGCTCCAGGTTGAGCTGTTGTTCACAATCTTAGCTGTAGAGGGCACAGCGTCACTGGCCCATGTGGGAACCAAACCAGCGGCCCTGATGCTCAGAGCTCACGCTCCCAAGCCAACTCTTAACCAACTGAGCCACTCGGCCGGCCCCTTCACTCTTCTTTTATTGACAGAATTAACATCTGACATTTTGTCTTTCAAAGTTTCTTCCAAATAGTCATTCCCAGTGAAGGGTTTTCATATCCTACAATCATCCCACTCTTCCCCTTCATTTTAGACAAGTTCTTCTCTTCTTTTCTACCTTAATTCTCCTGCCCCACATTTTTCGTTTGTGCTACGATAAGTGAATGCAACTGCCCTTCCACGCATCCCATACATCATCTAGCTGACTTCTTCTCAGTCATGTGAAAACCCAAGTTATTTTAAGAAAGTGTTCCTGGTTAATAACCCAATTCTCTATCTTTATCACTATCTGTGCCCTGTAGTTTCATCATGGTAGTGTCTTATAAATGTTTTCTATGTCTTTGTGTTTACATTACACTAATACTATGTTTACAGGAGTTATCTTCCCCAAACCATCTACTGTTTGAGGCAGCTACTGTTTCAGAGTGAGGACCAACCTTAGAGAAACTAAATTTAACTTCCATAACATTACTAGATATTTAAGTTTTATTTGGGGCAGTTCATAGACTTGGGCCTTTAGAAATATTTCTTTAAGTATGGTGAGTATTGTATAGTGTTGGTACTAATAGAGAAATTTACACCGAGATTGCAGACAGCTTTGGAATTATGTAATGAGCAACTTGCAATCAACACCAAATGCCTCTAATTAATCACATGGGATAGATAACTTACAAAAGATTTTAGTTAACACTATGGAATTTATTAGACTTGGGGTAAAATTTAGCTTTTTAAGGAAATGATTCCAAAGCTTCACAGGACAAATGAAGATTGTCAGTGCTTCTGAATGCAGAAATCACACTTGGAGCCACGTTAGAATTCATACCCTGAAGTGCAATGTTGACTACTTAGAGTTCGACATCACTTGCATGTCCATTGTTATTCTAGTTTACAGCAGATTATAAATGGAAAAAGCAAAAATAACTCCCGTAAGTTCTGGAATGAATGCTTTGGTTACCCAAAGTAGGGCAAAAACATTGAGAAATCTTTGATGAGTGTTTATCATTAACAGATTTTGAACCGTTGCAATTCTATTCTGAGCGTATTAAAAATATGCAAGATGAACAGATCCTTTTGCCCTGAGACATCTCCCAGTTTTCATTTTGTCTCCCGTTTACTTCCACCCAATAGACTTCAACTCCCATTTCAGGTCATGTTCTCGTCTTCATTCTTCCATTGGTTGGTGTGTGCTCAGGGACTGTGAGCAAATTTTAATATTAGCCAAAGCAAAACACAACTGGGGCAAGAAATCTGAGGCCTCCCAAATCATATCTCTAATCGTGAAAGCAAATACCAGTTAATTTTTAATTATCACCTATTCTTACTCTCCTTTTTATTGCAATGTTCTTGGCTTTGTTTAATAATAGCAAATAGGTGTCTTTTATAGTTTAGAAAATGCTTTCACATATATTACTGCATATGAACCTTCCAAAAACCTGTAGAGGAATTGTATCAATGACAAAAGATTCTTTTTTGGCAAAAGAATCTACTGAGATCTTGAGAAGTTAAGTGGCCTGCCCAAAGTAACACAGCAACTATGTATATATGTATTTGCCATTAGTACTTTACAATTATATGAAGTTTGATGACTATTCCTATTTCAAAAATAAAAACACTTCCTCTTGATAATATCTATGTATGGGAAACTGTGCATGACTGTTGGGGGCGGGTGTAGGGGGAGAGAGAGAGGGGTAACTAAACTTTAAATAAAATAAAAACTAACATTCCTTTTTCTAATTAATCTCAATAGAAACTTGATCTTTTAGGCAAATCCTATTCTTCTGTCAAGAGTGTAGTACTTTGGTGGTCTAGGATCTTGGACAAATCTGTTTTCTCTGTCATTCTAGCCTTACTTTCTTCACTAATATAAAAATTGGCCATTTGGGGGTTTCAACTTATAAGTGTTTATACACAGAAGAGATGTTCATATTTTATAAAATAGCACAGTTTATATTAGACTCCCATTAAAAACAGACCCTGATGTAAAACAGCTTTGAGTACTTTTAAACACATGAGTGTTAAATCGCCAAGAAGCTTATCTATTGTATATCAATAGATCATTTATAGCTGGTTCTGTCACAGTTTCCACCTTTGTTTCGCATGGTTATACACTCCGCTTTCTCGCCACACAGATATCGACGAATGTGAAAATAGAGACACCTGCCAACATGAGTGTAAAAATACCTTTGGAAGCTATCGATGTGTCTGTCCGCCTGGCTATCAGCTCATGCTCAATGGAAAGACATGTCAAGGTGAGGCAATGTGGGGATGTTTATCGCTGCAGCTTGACTTCAAACCAACAGAGGAAAGTGTGAGAAATTAAGTGTTTCCTTTTGCTGAATAATTATTCTCCTACTTGCTTCCTCTTCTTTCTCATTCCTGGTGGTTTGACTTTAAGCATTAATTTTGCAATAGGAGAAGTGATGAGAAAGCAATTAAGCAGAAAAAAAATAAATAGTTGAAAACATTTTGGGTATGGTCTCACTAGGATGACTAAGAATGCCTGAACCAGTTCATCTTATATATTTTTAAAACTGAGTGGGGATAGACCTCTTCAAACATTTTGTTTTTTTTTTCACAATTCAGCTAAAATGGAAGGGAAAATGGGAAGAGTGCTCAGTAAATTTACTTGAGTGTTAGGCATTATTTTGTATTTTGGCTTGGAGATCAGTGGGTAAATCAATTAAGTAATCCATTCATTATGTGAGTCTATGAATAATGTGAAACAGTCATGTTCTAGCATGGCAGGATGCAAAAGGTTTAAACCAATGAATAATATACAGTCTCTTCCCTTTGAGATCTTAAATTCTAATGGAGACAGACATGAAAATAAGAACATAATAAACATACAAGGTTAGAGGTGCAATAATAGTTTTGGACAATGTACAGTGGGGGTAGAAAGAAAAAATATCAATGTCAATAGTATCTTTTTACACAAAAACATGAAAGGAGCATTGTACTTTGACAAGGTGTATTGCAATGTATACTTAGATTAAAACAAAATAAGAATTTGCATAAATCTTGAAAATCTTCTTAGACACCTTCTCAATTTTGTGGACAAAATCTAGGGGCATTATGTCGGTTTTAATAAGCCCCTGAATTCTATTAATTTCTGTCATGTACAAGTTGTATCCTTTTCAAAAGTACAGCAAATATAATCTCCAAAAGAGTGCTTTATCAGGAGCAGTCGAATTTAGATTGAATGTCCCTTCTCTGTGAGATTCACAAAAGGCAGGCTAGGATGCAGCTTGTGGAAAATGTGTCCTGGAGACAAAAACCAGGATGGACCATGTCTTCACCTGAGTTACTCTGAGCCTACCCACCCCTGCCCCACCCGTTCATCCATGTACACTACCTGAGAGTCCCCACTGGATCATGTGGGCCAGAGAAAGAAAGAAAACACAATAATAACCTTGGTTCCCAGCCACCAGTTACCAAACATTTATTAAGAGTGTACTCTGTTCAGAAGATTTTACTGAGATTTGAAGAACTGGAATAACATATTTATATGATAGGCTTATGTTTTCCCAAATCAACTATTATCTCATTTTAATCAGCCATACAGATTTGTCAAGGGCAGTCATTTATACCCATTCTACAGATAACAGAACAGATTCTCAGAGTGATTATGCGGGGCTCAATGTCCTGTAACAGTCAAGCAAAAGTAGGAATTGATCACAGATCTCATAATATCTAGAGTAGCGCTTTGCCTCTCCTACGATGCGGTGAACACCAGGATTATTGTCTTGTGGCAGCAGAGTGCGGTGAGAGCCTTTACATGGTCCCTGTTTTATAATTTTACCCTGCTTTTCAGCCCAAAAATCCTTCTGAAGAGGTGGCAATGGCCAAAACTCACATTACGCTCCCGAGAGCTATGCCACACACCATGGAAGGCAGCAGGGTGATACTGAAGCATTTTGAATAACCAACTGGACTGCAAAACCCCTTAGCCAGATCTTTAAGGGTTGGATCATGTCATATTCTCATTTTCTTCTTTTCTAAATTATCCTAGTTTGTATTTTAATTGCTCTTGTCACTTATTCAGTTTAAAACATTTTTCAACTTCAGTTGTGCTTCAGAGTGTGGAAAATAATGTGAACAAATCAGAAGCAGGTGTCACTTGAAATGGTTGCAACTTAAATGGGTTGCATATTTTTGTGGTTTTAAAAAAGACATGAGAGAAAACAACTATGCCCTTTAAAGAGGTCTTTACTCTAACGAATAACTTGGAGTCTTTTTATAGCTTTCGAACATGTTTGAGGCATTTATGAGAAACAAAAGACTACTTTGCATTCACATGTGCATTTTTGAAGTTTTATACATTAGTGATAGAAATATCAGTAATAAAAAGGAAATTAAAGTGAATTTGACATTGATCAAGGTCATAGACTCTAATCAAAAGTGGAAGTCACCAGACTGAAAAATGGAAAACAGCAAATGTGCCCAATCATGATGTGCCCAAGAAATGGAGAAGAGAAACTGAAAAATCTTTATGTAAATTTTAAGCACCACAACTCGAATTCTAAAAATTTCTAAACATTATATGGCATTGCATTTGAAATGAGTGTTCTAATCTATCCAAGTTTTTAAAAGTAATCCATAATATTTATCGTGAATCAGAATTACTCTATATTTTCCATAAGATGAATGTTTCAAGCATGTTTATCCTAAATTATTTTTTAATGTATCCAGGAGCCCTTGGTTAAATGCATTCATATGTTCTAAAGCTGTTAAGCTATTAGTATAAAAGTTTTTCAGCTCATCTTGGTAAATTTTTTTGAAGCAATAATTCTTATGTTATAAAATGACTATAATTTCTATTATAATTTTCTTATAATAGTACATAAAAACCAGACCTCACCACATTGTCAGCATGATTTCTTCGTCCTTTCTGGCTTCTTCTTTTAAGGCCCATGAGCAGGAAGAATGAGCAGAGAGAGTGGGGTGAATGCCTATGTGGTACCCGAGGAGAGAGTAATATGGAAGACAAAGGAGGGCCACCTATCCAGAAGCTCAAATACTTAAGAAAGCTTTTCTATGGGAAGTGTACATTATTATGGCGCTAAGGACAAACACTTTGTATATTAGATTCTGATATTTGTTTATAGGTCTGTATTTAGCCAATGAAAATATGTGATAAAGTAGCTGTTCTTGTGCATACAGATGTACGTCCATATTCTGGTCTCCATGCCACCATTTTCATGGACCCTTGCTGGTCACTGGCCTCCATGTTCTGCAGGCATTCACTATAAAAATTAACAGCTAAAATGAAATTTGGAGGATGGGTGTGAAGGGAATGTTGTTGTCGTTTTTCTTTTTCTTTTCTTTTATGAGAGAAAAGAAGATAAGGTTAATTGAATTTCTTTCACATTTCCTTAGAGGGCTTTTCACTTCATTTTGAGGCCATCTTATTTTGTCAAGGAAATGGAGCACTTCTGACTGATAAAATCATAATTAGAAATTGGTTCATAGAGACAATAGGCAAGACTTAAAGTGAAATAAAACTTGGTTTCATGCTGTGTTCCATTCCTGTAGGAAAACTAGTCCTAATATAAAAGTAATAATGGAGAGCACATTGTCAGCACATTTAAGTAACTAAAAAGTCAAGTAAATACTTACTCCATATTATCTAGCCCAATATCTTTTTACTTTGTGCGGTCGACTAAGTTTAAAGCAAATAATTACATTTTCTGTCATTTCCTTAGAAAACAGTATATTTGGAGCCAATCTAAAATGCTCATTTTTAAGACAGAAATGCAAGTGGTCAATAATTCAGAAATAAAATTTAGCATGTATTGTCCATGATTAATATGCAGCCCCCCCATATCCATGGTTTCGCTTTTCACTGTTTCAGCTACCCAGATCAACCACAGTCTGAATGTATTAAATGGAAAATTCCAGAAATAAACAATTCTTAAGTTTTAAATTGAGCACTGTTCTGAATAATCTGATGAAATCTCAAGCCCTCCCACTCCGTCCTGATTAGGCCGTGAATCACCTCTTGGTTCAGCATATCTACACTGTATGTCACTCCTCCCTTAGTCGCTTAGTAGCCATCTCAGTTATCAGATCGGTTATCAGAGTGAGAGCCCACATTCACGTAACTTTTATTACCGTATACTGTTATAATTATTCTATTTTATTATTGTTATTGTTAGTTTCTTATTGTACCTAATTTATAAATTAAACTTTATTATAGGTAGGTATGTGTGGAAAAAAAATAATATATGGGATTTGGTACTATCTGCAGATTCAGGCATCCACTGAGGGTGTGGGAATATATTACCCTCAGATTAGGGGGAATGACTATTGTCTCTAGGAATTTCTTCTCTCCTTTCTCTTTTTTTATAGCACTATTTCAAGTTACTTAAGAGTCCACAAAAGAAGTTCACAACTTTAACCCAACTCCAATAGAAATCCCATCATGAAGATATTATACCAAGTCACTTCCTGTAAAATGACATAATAGTTACATATGCCCATTGATCTTGGCACCAATTACATGATAGAAGTGCATTTGACTTTTAGGACCTGCCTCTCCAGAGAACTTATTTGGGTCAATTAATTATATTTGTTCCCTCCTGTACATCAGGATCTATGTTTATTCAAATACTAAAGAAGGGGGATTGCTACAAGAGCCTAAATGTAGTCAATTGACTTAGACTTTCTCTAAAGTAAATAGTCTTCAAAGTTTTTGTTTGCCTACTCCAAAACGAAATTTGATTTGAAAGCCTTATGCTTAATTCATCCTTTTAAAAAATGACCTCTAAGTAGCTGCAAGGGATGTGAATTCTGGCATTGTTGTTCGATGTACACATGTTTTAAATATATTTTCATCAAAATTTTGGAGCTTCAGACATAACTCATTCAGTTAATGGAGGATGACCACTATATAATGTAAAAGTCTGTACTCATTGTTAAACAATCAGATTGACTGTTAGAAAAAGTCTAAGGTCATTTTTCTATTCAGGTAAAAGTATTAGTAGGCGTTCCCATGACAACCAGCTCACTTCTGAAATTTAATTTAAAATAGAAAGCTACAACCATTGGTTTGTAGCCATGATGAAATAAGGCCTGTCACCATCAATATGTTCTCACCCTGTGTATGTGCCTTGAAGCATTTTATACCTATGTATCATAAAGAGACTAGGGATTAGTGGAAAACTTTGTTTGGTAAAGCAGAAGGATGTAAGAGGGGAGAAGAGAAAGGAGAACCCTGGGCCACAGGAAGCTCTCAGGCGAATTGATTTTAGCTAAGGGGAACTTATAAAAAGTAAAGTCCTGGATGGAAATTGGTTCTCCGAAATATTTGCCTGCTCTCATGCTCCTGGAAATCTTCATGCACCACCAGGGGAATGCAAATACCACAGTCTGACATAGTTGCTCTAAAATATGGTTCTTAACTTTGGGATCTCAAAACCCCTTAAAAATTTTGTTGAACTCTGGACCCTCTTTCCAGAAAACCCATTCTCTCTCTCTCTCTC